TGGATAATGCCTCAATAGATAAACGTAGTCAAGATTAAATTAAATAAAGAGCTACTGTTAAAAAATGCATATTTGTTTTAAATTTTTGTCTAATATTAGCTTCAAATCATATTAATTATTCTTTAAATCAGCTGATATTCCTCAAATAAAGTTTCAGAAAAGTATATTTTATTTTGGAAGATTTTTTTAATATATAGAATTTCATTACAGATTTTTTAGCAAAACAAAAACTAAAAAAAAAAAAGACTCCTTCCAGTCAATTTAAATTGGCTTTGAAATAGAGCAAATTACTTTGCTTACTGGAAATATTAAATTTAATCTATTAGCTTGAAATTAAAACTAAAAGCTTCATAAAAGATATTTCATTTTTTAAAATTCATTTTAAGCCTTAGGTATCGCAAATCTGTGGAGGTACCTACGAGAAATAAAGACAACGTTTGAATGATGCCGGCATTTTTTTTTCGTGGGGTTTACAGAAACCAATAGGAACAGTAAAATTATCAATTTGGAAAATTATCTAATGGTGGCAATGGAATTCATGCAGGCGATATTTGGGGATTTAACAACAAAATTAGGCACAAATTATCATATATTTTCTAGCTTGCTGACTAGCTAAGTTTATTGCGGAAAAGATAGAAAGTTTATCGATACAGACCAATGGTTTCCATCTTATCACATATATATTTACATGAATTATTTACAAATTTAATAGCAATAGAAAATGTTGAGGGATTTTTAAACTTGAATTTGTTCTAATTCATAACTAATTTTTAATTTTTTCGGAGCCTCCCCGCCACTAGCGTTTTTTTGGTTTTTTTTTTTTTTAAACTTTTGTCCTTGTTTTTGAGGATGAATATTCTGCAGATGTCGTTCCAACATTGTTGGCTTCAAAGAATAATTTGAAAAAGCTGTTTTTTTTTCCACTAATAATGATGGATGGGAATCCATATTGAATATAAAATTCATCATGGCGTCTTTTTTATTACACTCATGATGGGCTCCAAATTCTGTAAATAAAAAGCTAGAAAAAGTGAAATATTAACGCCCTCCCCGAGACTTTTAAATCTTCCTGATTGAAAATCAGGATTTATAGTAATAAGAAATATATATTACACACACACACACACACACACACACACACACACACACACACACACACACACACACACACACTCTCTCTCTCTCTCTCTTGGGGTGAAATGATTAAAATATATATATATATAAACTTTTCATTTAAGTTTAAGATGTTTATACATATATACCATTATTCCTGTCTCAATAGTAAATCCGACATTGCTGACAAAGCTAACCTGGCCGTTGGTCTCGAAACAGGACCTCCAATTTGTGGTTGACTGGGACAGGAAATTTCTCGTGAATTTTAATGCATCCAAAACGAAACTGCTGTCATTTACTCAGCACAGAATAACGTGCCTGCCTCCTATCAGCATGGTTGAAGCTCAACTCCACGAGAGCGCATCACTAAGCCTTCTTGGTCTCACGTATTCCACTGACCTGAGGTGGAACAACTACATTGAATCAATAGCTGCATCTACTGCAAGGAAAGTTGGTTCTCTGTGTCGCGCCAGAAGGTTTTTTCTTGTCTGAGTGCATCCTTTGCATTTACAAATCTACCATTGGTCCATGCATGGAATACTGTTGCCAAATATGGTCTGGTGACCCAGTTGTTCATCTCGAGGTTCTCAACAAAATCCAAAGACGGATATGCATTTTGATCGATCCTGACTTGGGGTCTCGTCTCTATTCACCTTCTCACGGGTAATGTGGCTTCCCTCAATCTTTTTTTTTATTTTTATAAATACTTTCATGGCACCTGATCTGACGAACTATTTTCACTGGTGCCCTGACTGCATGATTTTAATAGTGCTACTAGATTGGCACATTGGTCCCACTTTTTACTGTCGAAACAGTTAAATGTAACCATTTCTTCTTATCCACCATCTTCTTCTCTCGCACTTCCCAGCAGTGGAACTCCCTTCCTCTTACTTGTTTCCCTGATAGCTATAATCTTCAAAAATTTAAATGCAATCTTAATCGATATCTTCTGTTGCTTTGATCCCTGTTCTTCTTTTTATCCTCTCCTCGGTCCCCACCCCCCTATACTAAAGTTTTTTCTCTTACTTACATTCCCAGTAGCCCCTTGTATGCTAGTGGCACCCCCATCTTGCTTGGGGTGAATTGCTTAAATAAAAAAAAAATCATTTATTCACAGAGAAATCTTTCATTACACGTCATGCGGCATTTTTGCAAGAATTAGTGCAAAAGATGCAGAATGTTGCCGCATCTGTACAAGATATTTTAAGACCATACCGGGACTAAAAAGTCACATCCGCGCTGCTCATAACTGATGGTGAGTCAAGCGATTGCATTGCTCGAAACAGTCGCAACTATCATGCAAATAAACCTTTTGGCAGAGGCCTTTGCAATATGAAATCGCGTAAAGAATGGAAAAAGGGGTCTTTTTTTATCAGGTAATGTGACACTAAGCGGTCTGCGTTGGTAGTGGAACACGTGACATGTGCACGGGGTGAACCGTGTAACCTGATTCGTTTGATGACGAGATACTCGAAATGGACATTCTCTGACACGAAAATTAAATGAATTTAAAGGTTGTTTTGTCATTTTCATAAACTCTGAGCTTTGGTGTTGTGACAGAATTCTGTATGAACTTTTATATATATATATATATATATATATATATATATATATATATAGATAGAGAGAGAGAGAGAGAGAGAGAGAGAGATGAAAAAACAGACAGGCAGACATAGATATTGAAACAGACAGAATAGATATTGAAAAGATGAGATAGATAGATAGATAGATAGATAGATAGATAGATAGATATGGTCAGACTGAAAGAGATAGATATGAACAGACTGATATATAAATATATATATATATATATATATATATATATATGTATGTATGTGTGTGTGTGTGTGTGTGTGTGTGTGTGTGTATGGACAGACTGAGATAGATAGACTGATAGATATATAGATATAAACAGACTGATATAGATAGATAGATAAGAACTGAGAGAGAGAGAGAGAGAGAGAGAGAGAGAGAGAGATGAAAAGACAGACAGACAGGCAGACATAGACAGACATACAGAGAGATATTGAAATGACTGAGATAGATAGATAGATAGATAGATAGATAGATAGATAGATATAAACAGACTGAAAGAGATAGATATGAACAGACTGAGATAGATGGATATGTATAGATTTAGATAGATATGAACAGAGAGAGAGAGAGAGAGAGAGAGAGAGAGAGAGAGAGAGAGAGAGAGATGGTCAGACTGAGATAGATAGATAGATAGATAGATTAAGGATGGATTAGAATCCGACAGAATAGTATTTAAAAATCTTCATTGGTGAAGCATGTCAAGATTTAAAAACAAAAATTACATAAAAGGAAATTACTATTAAGTTACGTACTCAGTGCATTTGTCTGTCACCGTAAACGCCGTGATCACAACTTTCACTTGTAGAGTGTTATTTTAATAAAAAAGGCATTATAATTTTCTCAGGCGCAGATCCACTGAAAGTGGCATTGCTCAATGCGTGCCCCAAGAGGATTAATATACGGTCGCGTTATTTTTTATATATTCTCAAAATCAGTACTGAAACAATTTGGAATACCTAAGCTGTAGGAGATAAGAATAAATAAGATTTTACATTTTATGACATATCGGCATTACTATGGGTCAAATGTTGCCAACTTAAATGAATATTATATATTAATAGAATAGTTAGAATAAATACAAAGAAAAACTGAATTAAAATTAGTTAAATCACAAATCATCATCCATATTCTAATGAACAGAGCGCGCAGCAGAATCAGGCCAGAGATAGGACAAGAACGGTGCGGGTTCGTTAAAGACATTGGAACAAGGAACATGATAATCATGCCCAGAAAGAGCGATACAGATGCCGAAGAACCTGTATCTATGTTTCATAGACTACGCAAAGACCTTCGACAAAGTAATCCACAAGGATCTGAGCGAACTGCCCAGTAACCTTGATATATTCGGGAAAGATATCAGAATAATCAAGATCCTATACTGGCAACAAACAGCATGCATGCGTATAGGGAACGAGTTCAGTGAATATACAAAAATAGAAAGGGGAGTAAGGCAAGGATGTGTCTTCTCACCCGTCCTGTTCAACCTGTATAGGCAATTCTGAGAGAATTGGAAACTCTACCGGGATTTAGCATCGGCGGCCACCATCTTAACAACATAAGATACACAGATAACACTACTGATAGCAGAGATGGAAGAGAAATTACAAAATCTCTTATAGAAGGTAGCGACGGAGAGTAAGAAGAAGGGATTATGCATAAACTACAAGAAGACGGAGTGCATGGTCATCAGTAAGAGGAAGCCGGAAATGCGATCTGAATGTTGGGAACACTAGAATCAAACAGACGCGGAAGTTTAAATATCTAGGAAGAGACAGAGGACGATAAGTGCGACACTGAGATCCGGAAGAGTATTGGGATGGCCAAGGACACATTCCAAAAGCTGGGCTGTGTATTGCGAGACAGGAGGATCTCTTTGGTAACAAAGAAAAGAATACTGAGCTGTTATGTGGCATATGTGCTTTTTTTACGGCAGTGAATGTGACTTGCGTGTGAGCAACGATGAGATCTTAGAGAGGTTGCAAATAAGGAGGAGGCTTATACTTAATATCAGGAAAAGAGAGCTGAAGTTTGTGGGACACATAATGAGGAAGGAGGGCCTAGAGAATCTGATACTCACGGGTTGAATAGAGGGGAAGAGAGACAAAGAAGGTGGAGGCTTATACTTAACATTAGGAAGAGGCAGCTGAAGTTCCTGAGATTCATAATGAGGAAGGAAGGCCTGGAGAATCTGATACTCACGGGTTGAATAGAGGGAAAGAGAGACAGAGAAGGAGGAGGCTTATATTTAACATCAGAAAGAAGCAGCTGAAGTTTCTGGGACTCATAATGAGGAAGGACGGCCTGGAGAATCTGATACTCACGGGTTGAATAGGGGAAGAGAGACAAAGAAAGAGGAGGCTTATACTTAACATTAGGAAGAGGCAGCTGAAGTTCCTGGGACTCATAATGAGGAAGGACGGCCTGGAGAATCTGATACTCACGGGTTGAATAGAGGGAAAGAGAGACAAAGAAGGAGGAGGCTTATACTTAACATCAGGAAGAGGCAGCTGAAGTTCCTGGGACACATAATGAGAAAGGAGGGCCTGGAGAATCAGATACTCACGTGTCGAATAGAGTGAAAGAGAGACAAAGAAGGAGGAGGCTTATACTTAACATCAGGAAGAGGCAGCTGAAGTGTCTGGGACTCATAATGAGGAAGGACGGCCTGGAGAATCTGATACTCACGGGTCGAATAGAGAGAAAGAGAGACAAAGAAGGAGGAGGCTTATACTTAACATCAGGAAGAGGCAGCTGAAGTTTCTAGGACACATCATGAGGAAGGAGGGCCTGGAGAATCTGATACTCACGGGTCGAATAGAGGGAAAGAGAGACAAAGAAGGAGTAGGCTTATACTTAATATCAGGAAGAGGCAGATGAAGTTTCTGGGACACATAATGAGGAAGGAGGGCCTGGAGAATCTGATACTCACGGGTTGAATAGAGGGAAAGAGAAAGAAGGGATAACAACGCATGACATACCTAGCGGACTTAAGCAAGTGGCTTAAGCAAGTGGTCTCGGGGATTAAGTAGAAGGAAAGAACTTGTTGAGAGCTGCAAGCGATAGAGGGAGGTGAAGGGCCATGATCGCCTCCATCCTGAGAAAGAAGTACGCAAGAAGATATCAAGGGCCGACGAAATCACCAAAAGGAAGCCTTTTAAAATAATAACGACCACAGGGAATTAGGAGTTCATTTCACTCAATTATTCTCAAGTGAGATTTTATAGAAACCGCAGATGGCTTCAAGTTTGCAAACTCCTCGAGTGTAGGAATGACAGATCCAATGTTTCCCGGCTTTATTTAAGCATTTAAAATCTATGCCAATTTTTAATTAGTCGTTTTTCTTTATGACTGGTCATTTCGATTATCCCGTTCCGCTGAATGTGATCCATTTCTGCTTTTACCTTTTCTAGTTCTGGCATTAGTATTCTTAGTGCTGCAAAAATCGTGTAATAACGTGGAACTCTAATTTTAACCGGTCTGAATTGATCTGGTTAATTTCACTAAAATCGGTGACCTTCTCAATCTTTGCAATGGTTAAAAATATTTCTTGGTTTTAAATATTCCGTAGAAGGTTGATAAGCCGTAAAAAAAAGTTTTTTTTTCTATCTGTGGCATCAATACAATTTAATTTTAACACGGGTCTGGTTAATAGTTAAGTTCATTGAAATATGTTGCCTCGGGATTTCATTTCTTCAGGTCAAACGCTGATGTACATAACGATAATTGCGGAAAGAGTCTATCAAGCTTTAAATAAAAATAGTGAAGTCCGGGCTGTAGCTTTCGACATCTTGAAAGGTTTCGACAGTGTTTGGCATTCTGGTCTCCCCCACAAGCTGAAAAATCACGTGGAACCATACAATTTAATTTTAACCGGTCTGAATTGATCTGGTTAACTTCACTGAAATCTGTGACCCCGACCGATGTTATTGATCCTTCTCAATCTTTTTACTGGTTAAAAATATTTTCTGACTTGAAATAACCTGCAAAAGGTTGATTGGCCGTAAAAAAAACTCAATCAGTCAACACTGTAATCAATTCGATGTGGCCATGTGCCAGACTTAGCCAAACTTAGAGACTAATAAATAATTAAGACATTGTCAAATTAACAGATAATGTTGTCTTCTTTATCAATAATTTTTCTCAAAGTATTTTAGATTTCAGGGGCCGACGAAACATTCTGTGGATCAGACATTTTTAATATGGCCTCCACTTAAGTGAGGTTAGACTGTATTCCATTTTCCATAATGAAATGCCCAAGAAATTTTATCTCCTTTCATCTTTCATTGGATTTTTCTTTACCTATTTTCAGTCCGACCGATTGAAATCTTTTGAACACTCGATTCAAATGCCGCATGTGAAGGTTCGTTCTCGCTAAATAATTAAGACATCGTCAAATTAACAAATAACGTTGTCTTCTTTATCAAGAATTTCTTTCATATTATTTTGGAAGATTTCAAGGGCCGACGAAATCCCCAAAGGAAGTCTTTTATAAAAATAGTGACTGTAAGGCGTTTGGAGTTAATTTTGCAAAAAAGCACTCTCTAGACCTTAAAGAGATTTAACAGAATCCGGAGACTGCTTCAAGCTTGCACAATCTTCGAGCATTGGAATAAGACAGATTTCATCGTTTTACGGCTTTATTTCGGTATTTAAATTCTGTGAAAAATTCTTAATTTGGCATTTTTCTTCACGACTAGACTGTATTCCATGTAAGTACACAGAACAATCGATTCGGTATTTTGTTTTCGATTATTCCGTTCCTCTGAACGTGATCCATTTCTGCTTTTACCTTTTCTAGTTCTGGCATTAGTATTCTTAGTGCTGCAAAAATCGTGTAATAACGTGGAACCATAATTTTAACCGGTCTGAATTGATCTGGTTAAGTTCATTGAAATCGGTGACCTTCTCTATCTTTGCACTGGTTAAAAATATTTCCTGGCTTTAAATATTCCGTAGTTTTTTTTCTATCTGTGGCATCAATCCATTTAATTTTAACACGATTCTGGTTAATAGTTAAGTTCATTGAAATATGTTGCCTCGGGATTTCATTTCTTCAGGTCAAATGCTTATGTACTTAACGATAACTGCGGAAAGAATCTATCAAGATTAAAATAAAAATTGTGAAGTCCGGGTTGTAGCTTTCGACATCTTGAAAGGTTTCGACAGGGTTAGCATTCAGGTCTCCCCCACAGAGAACACTTGACACAGTGGATAAAGGCGTTAGTTAGATCCAGTGACAGGACCCAAAGAGTGTGAGCTCAATACTCGGTTAAGGCAGTGGAGAACTTTCAGAGGGAAATTAACAGGAGATAACTGATAATTGACATCCATTAAACATGGCACGTGGAACTAGAACAATCTACCAACTAAGCGAAGTAAAGGGTTCAGTTCGACATTTCAACCACCCGAAGAAGGCCGGAACGTACAATTGCCGAAACGTTGTTATAAATATGGCGACAAAGATGAGGACAATAGTCCGAATAATGTAAATAATGAAAAAAAAAATTACCATCAATAAAAATTTTGTCGGCATTAAAGGTTGATATGCCGTAAAACATACCAAACCAAACCAAATCCACACAGTAAACTCTTGTGTCTTAGTGGCTTTACTGTCTTGATTGTGATGAACTTGATTAAAAATAAAATTACTGTTTTTTTTTTAATCTAATCCTATCCTGGATCACAAGCAGCACCAGGGCTTAATAGACTGTCGATATCCACATCTACGATAAATATTCGTAGTGAAATAAAACCGTTAACATAATCACTGTCCGATGTGGTACAGTGTCCAAGGTACTTCATGGTACGACCTGATGATCTAAGTATCACCTTAGATCTGAGACAAGGTTTTAAACTGTGCTTGTGATACTGACGCAAGGAGATCACTGATCATTCTTTCCCACAACATTTTTAGTTTCATGTGCCGTGGCAGTTCATTAGAACAGTCGTCTGTATTCTGTCTACAGTGTCAACACTTCGGTTGCGACCGCAAACAGCAGAATGGTTTCGTTTACCACGTTTAAGGCGTGTCTTCCGTTTAACTGGACGATCAATTTGCATATGCCATTTCTGAGCGCAATTCTTGCATTTGTTTATCCCCACCATTACCCCTACCGCCCACTTCTTCCTCTGCCGTTCCTGGGAGTTGGTTGATGTAGAGCCCGACATTCGCTCTGTTTCCATCTGTTTGCTTGTTCACTTTGGTTTTGTTTTTCCTTCTGTTTTATTGTATCGAACACATGGGACTGCTGTTTCTTGATTTGCATTTTTACCTGTTCATGTTGACGGGCAATTGTTCAATGTGAGGTCAGGATGATGTTTTTTTTTCCCGACAAATCCCTGTCTCCGAGACCAACCATATGTTGGTCCCGTATTCATAATTCTTTCTCCGGAAAGTCAACGTTTTATTTATTTATTTCGTTTTATCAACGGCACATCAACTCCTTATGGGTCATTTAATGCCGAAAATAAATTTTCTTTGGAGCTTTCAAGTAATAAAAATATGATATGTTATTCTGCTTTCACAATTGAATACATGGTAGATGAATCTCAGCTTTTGTCCATATACATGTTTGCGTGAACATAATTACTAAAGGCGGTGATACGTATGTTTTATTTTGTAATTTTACAATTTGGAATACAGTTTGATTTCTTTAAGAAGTCGTAGGATATTATATGGATTAATGTCATGAAAGAGTTCTTTCATGTTGGTTGTTTGGTTCATTTTGTTTGGCGGCATATCAACACCTCTATGGGTTATTTAATGCCGAAATCTAAATATTTTGAACTCAGTAGCATGCCTTCAACTAGAGATAAAATGTATTGTTGGTCATTTTGCTGTAAAAATTGTATTTTTATACTTTCACGGCGTTTTTTGTTTGGGGGTTCACTATTTGCCCATAGCTGGGACCCTAACAGGTGCTACCACCCTGGGTCAGGGTAGATCTGGGAACATCAGCAATTAGGTGGTTCCACGTTTCTGAAAACCTCCAATCTCACGATCAGAGGCCTTGCTGTCGGGCATAGTTTATCGTCACACCCAGGACTATGTCTTCGGTTAGGTGATGCAAGAACTGAATATAGGTTTCGTTATTATCACCAGATTGTCGGTTTCGCCGGTAAAACACGGCCGTCTCATGTATAAGGTTGGCTTTTAGATTAAAAGGATTGCTGAAGTTCTGAACGACATTGTTAAAAGGGATCTTCTGGTTGGTTAGGGTCATATCACTGCTGAAGGAGCCATATATTTATTCGGCATCAAGTGCCATAGAGCAAGGGCGGCTAAACCGCTGCTTGCAAGCCATATGCGGCTCTTTGACCTTTAATACGCGTGTTGGGGAAATAAGTTGACTCAGTTCCTCTTTTCATCACAGAATATAAAAGGTACAAGATTTCAAGCCTTATAGTGATTTTCTAAGCGTAGCCTAGATGCGGCACAAGGCCGAAAGTAGGGGACACCCAGTGAGGATCGAACTCTCTATCCAGTCGTAACTGTTCTAGTGAGACAAGCTTGTTAACCGTTACACCACCTCGTGGTGCCCAGTTTCAAGCTTTATAATTATTTATTGGGGATGAATTCAGACCCTATTTATTAAAACGTAAGTTCAATGTTATATATAACTGGCCATTCGTATTCGAGGATATCCGTCTACAAGGGCGGTTAGCCAATCCCTATTGCAGACGCTTGCTCAGGCACATTTGGGTTTATTTAACACCCACAGAGCCCACCTGCGGTTTA